GGTAGTTAGTTTTCTTGGTTTGTTTTTTTTTGGTTTTTTTTTTTTTTTTGTTTTTTTTTTTTTTGGTTTTTTTTTTTTTACCCTAAACCCCAAACCGACCAAGTTATGGACCAATGACTTTTATAACTTGGATGTAGGAGAACTAAAGATTAGAAGATCAAGTCCCTCTTTCTCCACCATCTAATTTTTTCCCTCTACCAGCAACTGTTCCTAAAAAAACACATAATCTCTGTAGTACTAAGGTGATCATCATAAATCTATGAATAAATGGCATTACTAGCAAGAGTGCAAGAGCAGCACAGATAATAATATGCAACTATGGTTTATTAACCTTAAACCCTCTTAAATCACTCATGGAACCATAGCAGCCAAGAAAATTATTGTGGTCAAATGCCATGAACTCCAGCTTGCTTTTAACACTAGGAATATTTCCCCTCTTCTCCAGCATTTCTACAACATCTCTGCTCCCAACCAGAGTTTCTGTAACAAAAATTGTAGTTTATGTGCCTGTTTTTTGGTTAGGCTCTGGGAGTCTGATTCAGCATTATAAATTTTTTTTCCATTTTTTTAGGACAGCGCTGGCTGTGTGGGTGCTTAGCCACAGATGCTGTGTGTGGCCTCGCAGCTTGGTGCCCACACAGCTGAGTCCTGCTACAGCTCGCAAAAACTGCTGGGATTTCAGAGCTGCAAAGCACTATGTTGGGCCTTTGACATTACCCCACCCTTCCTGAGCACTGCTTTGAATAAACCTGTATCCTTTGGCCTTCTATGGATAATGGGCTTTCCAGGGTATTCTGCTTGGCTGATGAATGAAAAAGGTTGCTGAAGTCTGAACGTGCAGAAATCAATGTGGTTTCACTTTTCATTGAGAACTCCTCTCGTTTGCAATTGGCTTTTCCTATGGGACTTGCTATAAAGCTGAATTTGGGTGTAGGTGATTGACAGGGATTGTTGTGTTGACAGAGGTCTCAGGCAGTGAGGAGAATGCTGCCACCAGAGCAACCAGAGCAAGCACAGCGAAATCAACGGAAAACTGAAGGCAAAACTGAAGAGCATTAAATTAACCAAACTATGCAAAAGATGCTAAGAAGCTGAAGACCTGAAAGGAACTGGAAAACAATGAATGATCCTGCTGAAAAATGAGAGCTGCAATGTGAGGATTTCAAGAACTCCAAAAATGAGCTGAGAAGTTTGATCTCAAACAGAATGGAAAAGTAATGTTTTTAGAGCACTTAGAGTCATGACACGTATTGGGATACAAGATCCATGCCTCAAATATTCAGATTTCAGGTTGGGATAAACATAACATTGAGTATAAACTTCAATTTGACTATTGAAACTACATGATCCTTCTTTAGCAAGGAATGACTGGTGAAATAGGAAAAAAAAAACCCTAAACCCCAAACCCTAGAGATAATTTACTACTGTTGTATTACTTCTCCTTACAGAAAAATCTAACAGGAAGAAACCACTGAAAATAGTTTAGGTCTGAAGAACCATGTTTCTTGAGTATCTGTAAATCTATGAACATCCGGCTGCTTTGACTGGTTTCTGCGAGCCCTAAAGCCCCAGCTTTGATGAAGGGCCACACACAGATCACAGACCCTGCAGGAGAAACCTTGTCTTGGCATGGCACAGAGGCTGTCTGTCTATCTGAGACTTGGTGTCTGACAACCAGCCACAAGCCTTGTCTTTCCTAAGAGGAGTGGACCAATTTTTATTCTTTTAAAATAGACAAAGCCAGTTCTGCTCCTATAGCTGATGGTGTGGTATGCAGAGCACTCAGGCTGAAGGATCTCTAACAGTGCCTTCCTCACCTGGGTGAAATACAAACCTGTGCCTCTGCAAACCCTGAGAGCAACTTCAGCAGAGATGCTGAGGTTTGTTGTTAGAGTGAGAGTGGGGGAGTTCAAGAGTTAGGGTGATTAAGAGCCAAAGAACAAAGGATCAAAAATCTAATGCCCGTTCTGAGAGCTGGCTGCAGGTTTTCCAGTGCAAGCTTCCCTCATCCTGCATTGCTACAGGCAGGTTTGTGATCATCATCCATCTATTATTAGTAGCCAAATAACTCTCCGCATTTTGGAAGAAATGAGTATTGAGGGGTTCTTTAGAGGAGTTTTGAGAAAATCTGTAAATTGTGCTCTCCACTGAGAAGAAACATGTGGGATACCATCACCAGAGTATATAATCTATACCATCCACAGGTGGCATAGACACCACAGAATTTCCTTGACAAAGATTTTGTGTCTCCCCAAGATACGGAAGCTTGGGCAGAACAGAGGGAATGGAGAATAAGAGAAAGGCAGAATTTGCCACGTATAATACCAAATGACACATTCATTCATTCACTTTGTGTGTTAAATCTGGTGCCCTGCCAGCTGCAGCCTTTACCAAAACTAGGGGCACCTGACATCTTATTCGTCTTATATTTGCAGAGAGATGCTGGTGACAATAGACTATTTTTATTGTGCAAGTGCACCAAACCTGGTGAAGCCCCACAGGTTACAGGCAAGTATGCAAACACGTGCACATTTGCATAGAGATGCAAATCCATCAGTGGGGCATTTGTTAGAGAGGGGGATCCAGCTGACTCTTCTAGGAGAGGTGTGGGGATGTCTTCACGTGTAGCTCACTCTAAATAAAAAATACTTCAGTAAAATTCACACACACACACCAAAAAAGCATTTCTATCTGGTTCTAATTAAAAAAAAAGAAAGAAAACCATAATTTCCATTTTTTCTTGCACATTTGAGTACACAAGGAATTCTGCTAAGAATTCAGATAATAGATTCCAAGACCCCATTATCAGTGTGGAAGAATTAATACCCCCTGTTCATGTTTTTGCCAAAACCAAATGTGGAAAATGCTTAAACCACACCTGTTTCAGTTCTACAGCCCATACACTTCTGCTTGCCAGCTCCCCAGCTATTAAAATTAGTTAGGGGATTTCTGATACTTTTTTTTCTTTTCTATTTTGTTTTCTTTTTCAAGGCAGTTACAGGACAACAGTAGCAAGGGTATGTGGTTAGCTCAAAGGGATGTGAGAGGGAAAGCAGAAACAGTTTAGAACTCCAGCAATGCACAGGGGAAGATTTGGTTCTCATATTGAATGCTAGTTAGTGTGGGGGTGCTACGTCTGTGCTGTGGGCGTCAGCAAGGGAATGTGAAGTTACTCTGCTGATCCAAGTGGGTTTGCCCAATTCTCTTTTGAGGTATCGCCTGATGGGGCTCAGCACAGCACCTGAAGATGTCTGTGTTGTAAAGAAGGACAGAGAGGGAGAGGTTTTGTTGAAACAAATGCTCAGTGTAAGAGACAACAAGGTTGATGACAAATGGTGGTGTCATTCAGATGCTTTAGGGAAGCTGATGCTTTTGGAAATGCAACAGCAGTGCTCATTTCAGTGTCCTCCTGTCTCCTCAGGAATGCAAACTTGAATTTAAAAATTACCCTGTTATTATACCCCTCCAGGACCTTGTATCAATCAAGTGGATAATCACCCCATTACCACCTTGGACTGCTACTCAATTCTCCACTATCCAGCCACTGGCCTTCCATGCCCCAAGTGAGAGAGTGAAATCTCCTTGATGAGCAGATTTGGACAAACTCTGTGCCACATTGTATAACAACCAGACTTGTTTGGTTTTCCCTCTAAAAATGTCTATAAAAAGTGCACTGTCTCTAAAGTCTGGGCTACAAAGAAAGATTTTTATACAGCTACTTTTTAGTTATCTGTACATATTATTTGTCTCTGTTACACAGACTTCCTAGTTTAAACTTACAATAAAATCTGGTTAAAGATGCACTGAAATGCACATCAAGGAAAAATATAAGCAATGAATTACATTGGTATATTCAGTGATTTATAATTACATACTTACATATATACTACATTAGCACAATACATTACAAAATCAGTATTTCTGCTACAGAAATAATGAGTAAAAATACCTTCAAAAATAATGCACAACTTTTCCAGGAGTTCTGGGGTTTTAAAAAAATTTTTGGAAAATTTCTGTCTTTAGTTTGCTACATAATGTCTGCTGGAAATAGTTTGCTCTCTTTCACCTTTGTTTATGTTCATGTTATTCTCTGAATTTTCACAATGGTACTATGATTTACCCTATATTATGGGAGGGACCTACTGCTATTTTAAAACTAAAATACAAGGTGCCTCATGCCCTCCTCCACAAAAAAACCCCTTCTCATTTTATTTGTATTGTAAATAACAATAAATATAATGAAAGAACCACATGATTCACAGGTTATGGAAAACTCTTATACTGAAATTTTCTTCATGTCCTATGAAAGAAACGTATTAAACTGAAAAGTGTGCTAACTGTGAAACACTGAAGGAAAACTAGGGAGCATCAGTACAACAGTATTATAAAGGCAAGGAAGACATATTTTTGCAGAATGGTTTTCAAATTTGAATTTGACATGTGAATTCCAGAAATTAAGATCTAAAGAATAACTCTAGGAACCAAACATAAACCAATTCAAACCAATTTGCATTCTTTAATATTTATTTCTCAGATTAGCAAGTATATTCCTTTTTTTTTTCTTGAGAAACTGAATCCCACTGTCTCTTGAGTGTCTCCTCAAAATGGTTAATTTAGAAATATCCAAGGGTTAGTCTAACTGCCATTCTAGGCTAATTAGCTTGGGTCTGGCTGGGTGATATTTTTTTCAGATATTTAATAGGCTGTATAAACACCTGGCTAGTTTTTTCTTTCTTCAAACACAAAGATTTCAGAAGTCAGCCACTTCTCCTGACTAATCAAAAGAGGAGTTTAGAGCTCCCCTCCCTGCCTATGCCCTTGATGGTGACTCTTTCTAGGGTTCTGATGTTTATTTGGCTCCTTACACCATTTAGTACATCACATGTGCTACTATATTGTGTAATTTTTGAAAGCCTAAATGTCATGCAGTAGTAGTCAAAAGTCTTAAAATGCCTCTTATATTTATGTAGTCATTTTTATCAAGCGAGTTATAATCTCACCTGAGGACGTAATCAGATCTGTCCAAGGAGACTGATGTTCATAAAACAATGTTGGCTAACATTATTTTTCCAGGCTTTTATTTCTTCTTTGATTATATTTGTGTCATTTTATTCCTGGTTCTGCAATTGAAAACCCACAATAACAGTGTTATAATATTTCACAAATCTGCTCATGGTCAGCTTTCCTGTTGATTCAAACTATTTAGCTTTTTTATATTCTTTTTTTTCCCCCAAGAATCCAGAAGTTATTTAAGCAATTTAGGAATTCTCTCAAAAAATGCATGTAGAACCAAAGCAGGACACTATGTGCTGGCATACAAAGATTAATTATGGCAACAAAGCTTACCACCCACCCCTTGACAAGCTGCTTGTGCACTGTGACAGGGCTATCCTGCAGTCAGAGTTACACCACATGAGTAGGATGAGTTCTCAGCTCAAGCATTCTAAGGTGGTTTTAGTGCTTTGGCTGAGGAATGGTAACTTCTTTGTGGTGTTGCCATGGCATTATGTTGAATCTGCAACACACAGTCACTTATAAAAATGGGGCAAGGGCTCAAAAGTCCTTTATGTTCATTGAAATTTCATCCACCACCTCATTCAGTGATCCAAACTCACATACACACGTGCAAATACTCTTTTTTTCCATTCACAGTCAGGCTGTGTAGCAGAAATCTCTGGTAGCTCTGCTACTGAGCAGGCACGTCTATGAGCCATCAGAGCACACCCTACACTGGCTGTACAACCAGATGGCTTCCAGAGCTCTTCTATGTGTGCACCAAGTTTATCAGAACTGTGAAAACCACAGTGGTACTTTTTCTTATTCCTGTTTCCCTTCTTTTCTGGCTATTTATACAAGCAGCATTCTGAAAAACACACAGGCACTATTCTTTCCTGGCAAAAGTGGAGTTTTGTGTTTTTTATATTCTATCGGTTCAGGAATGCTTTTGCACTTAACACCTCCGCAAACTTTTGTTTGACACAATATCTCATCTGGCAGGTCCATTCTGAGATGGCTGGCTGGCGTGCCAAATACAAGCTCCAAACCCTATCTTCCCCAGGTGCTAAATTACCTTTCCTAATAGTCTGATCAAAATCTGTGGAGGTGTTTGGTTTAGGCTTGAACGGTACACTCAGATCCCAGTCATTTCCTCTTCCGGACACCCAATAGCCCTGCGAATATACCAGACTGATAATGTCAGTCTTGAACGAGAGGGGGTCTGAGAAAGCACTTTTCCCTGCATTTTTCTTGATCAGAGATCAAATGTGGATTTTGTTGGGGAAAAATAAAGAGCAGAGTTGTGTGTAGAAAGTCAGGGTTGTGGATGTGCTCAGGCCACAGATGCCCGCAGTATGTCTCCTGCTAGAATGGGATAACACATCTTGGAGCATTCACTTGTGCCCAGCCTGTGCCCTGGCACTTCATACACAACTTGTTATGACTTTTAAAGGGCACCTCATGGCCTGAATTTGAGCCCAGAGGCCACCCAGGAATGCTGCCAGCAAAGCATGAACTTAGCCAGGACAGTTTAGCTGGCAGCCTCCTGGTGAGGGGGCGCAGCTTTCTGCCCTTGTACCACCCCCATTCCCTGCTTCAGCCCATGCAGTCAGCAGCACTGTCCTTCCTCTCCCTGGCAAAAGAACCTCAGGCCAAATCTTGTGCCAGGTATCCTAGGCAAAGAATCATCCAGACTTTACCAGAACCCTGTGCTGTGAGTCCATTCCCATCGTCTTGGTGGGAAGAGATAATTGCCCCTCAAACAACAGCGCATCACCAGCTACCTGGGCATCCACCCCGATTCTCCTTGCAAAAAGAGGAAAATGGTTTGCTTTGATTCTTGGTTGTTTTTTTTTTGTGCTGTGTTTTTCTTTCACTAGTGTTTCATGCTCTGATACAGACATATTTCTCCAGAAAAGCTCCCGTGCATAAGGATTTCTGTTTTCATTTATGACCTTAAGGGAAAACATCTGTTGCTGTCTTGCCATTTGTCTTCAGATTTCCTCATAAGTGTTGTTTTACTTGTGGTATCATCCTTCTTTCTGAATCCCCACTATCTTTCTGCACTGTCTCTGTGATAGGTCATATGCTGGTGTCACTGTTTTCCGGGACAAAGTAAAATTTTTTATTTTTAGGAGGTGCTTAAGTTAATCTCTTGTCTGTTACTGCTCTTTGGTGTTTTAATGTTCTATTATCATGTACCAGACTAAATTTTTTCATCTGAAATAGTCCCAGAGAGATAATGTACCTCAAAATTTAAATTTTTCTGGTTTTCTCTACAATGGGAAATTGCTGGACTTTCTCTGGCTTGGTTTCTTGCTTTTTTAACTGTATTATTGGTGCCTTGCTGATGTTTGTTAACAGCTGTTGTAAGAAAATACTGCAAGCAAAACAGAGACCCAGATTTATCAGGTTTATTCTGTCTCTCTAAGTGCCTTGTCATTGTTTTATAAAGCCAGTGGGAAGAAAAAGAGGACAGCTGATATCTTAAGTGAGTGAATTTGTCCTCACTTCTCTTTTGAATAAACTACCACCAAATTACATTGTGAGACTGTAGTGCAACCCTGCCCCTCACTGAGGCAATTCAGGAAAGGGTTAGAGGTAGATGAGTGTTATTTAAGCCACAGAGGGAAGATGTAACCCTTACCAAGGGTGCCACTGAGGGGCTCATCAGCACAAGACCCGTACAGAATCTCTCCTCCCTGTTTTATTCCAGTAAAGGATGAACAGGGAAACACAAAGATGGGAAGCCTAAGATCAGCAGTGTCACCAGTTTGAGTCACTTCTGTTTTATCTTTAGATGACTTTACTTGAAATTAAATGGTGAATTCAATGCAATTCCCTGACCTCTTAGGTGCTACCACTTAGATGGGCACAAGCCATGTACACTGAGATGTTGTCTAGACTTTCAGCGAGTTATACAGACACTGACTTCTTTTCCAAGCATGCCATGAAGAGCTTAGTCTAATTAAGCTACAACTGTCAGTGCATGAAAAAATCAGATTCTCTTGATAAAATAATGTTATATTCTCTGAAGAATAATGTGTGAAAGCATGTTGCTTCTCTATTCCAGATAGTAAAACATAGAAATTTGGTTTCAGGAAGTTCAGTGCAACCTTTTTAGATGCACAGGCCTTAGCTGAGTACAAACAAAAAGACACATTGTTTGGAAAAGACAATATTTATATCACAGATCTTTGAGACATCAAAAGTAATGACAACAAGACCTTCCAAGACAGCCCCTCTGCAGGTCCCTGCACATCCCGCATTCCCATCAGCTATCTGCCATTCTCTCAAAATAAAAATGACACTTGTCCATTTCTGATTGCAATATCCTCATAAAAAGCAAAATTTGCAAAACCAATTCCTCTTCTACAACAGGAATTGCCAAATGTCATGCTGCAGTGGTCTTTCAGCTCTGGATGAGCTGTAGGCTAAGATTTGGATTTTGTCTTTGAAAATGAGCAGAGGGCTTTACAAGGGGTTTGAACTCCTCCATGTTCCAGTCTCAGGGGCTCTTTTCCTGTGAAATCAAAAGCCTTTCCAGGCTGGTCTTCATGTTACTTCCATCACTAAATGCTGCTTGCATTCTGCAGGCTCCCTCTAGTTTTTAATTACACACAGGATTAAAAAAAAATATTAGATTCCAGTGGAAATTTAGAAATGCTCATGTCAGTCCCTTTCTTCCCAGAGTTATGAAGCAAAAATGACAGATGTTATTGCTGAGACACAGGCCAGTCTCTGATCTTAGTATGCGAAATGTTTTCCTAGGGATGTCCTGCAGCCTTTATACGAAAGGTTTTCAAATTTCAAGCCTAAGTTGTGAATAAAAATATGTTTCTAAATTTCCTAGATGGAAAAAAACCCTTACTGTAAATCTCTGATGGCCAATCCTTTTCTCTGTCATAGTTCAGCAAAATTCCACCTGAGTGGTGCAGCAGGAAAAAAAAAATCCCAATTTTATCAAAACAAACCTATGAAACTCTTTTAAAGATTTGAAAAATCTTTAAAGGGGAGAGACACCTGCATCCATTCAAAGAGCCCAGCTGAGTTAAAGACACAGAATGTGTGTTGTGGAAGCTCAAGCCAAGCAGTGAATGATGAAAAAAATGCTCATTTAATTTCTTGGCTTCTGCAGTCTTATCAGAGTGTTCTGCCCAGCAGAAATGAGCCCTGTGAAAAATGTACATCCCCAAGTTCAAATGTGAGTGTAAAACAATATCTAAAAGAAGTTAATTCCATCGCTTGTTCCTTAAATAGTTTTTAGTGCAAGAGATGGTTTTATAATCATGTGTCTATGATCAGAGACTTTTGGATAGACACCAAATCAAAACATCAGCAAAGAGAATAAGGTGATGTGGAAAACTGATTTATTCATTCAGAGTCAATAAAGTAAGCATGCAGTAGCTGTTGTAAATAGCTCAGTGGAGAAGATTTATAAGTCTTAACATGGGGAGACAGGTTTATCCCAGTTGAAAGCACATTTTGACTGGAAGAACCTGTCACCATGTTTATAAAATGGGGCCTTGCATGCAAGATGTGGCCTTAGGACTGTGTGAATTTGAAATGGGCAAACAATGTCATCTGCAGCCATGTTTTTAATCTCTAAAGTGGAAAGCTAAAATTGACCTGAAAATACAAAGGAGGAAGATAAAAATTCTAAGCAAAATAATTCTAGGCCTCAGCAGGAATATGCACAGTGCTTAAAACTTCCCTTTGCTCCAGATTGCTGTGTTTATAAATCAAAATTATATGTCCAGTGGGGAAAAGGGAAGTAAAACTGTTTCCAAATGAAAAAAGGACAAGTGATTAATTTCTGTTAAAATCATAATTGAAAATACAGAATGTAGGAATACTCTTGGCTTATTTTTGTTTTTATTTGTAACATTTGTTTTGTTGCAGTTAATATGATCAATAGACTGAAAAAGAAACCATTTAAAGAAACCATTTACCACTATAAATCTTTCAACTATTTGAAAAATAATACACATTGCAGGCTTTCTGCACCCTATAAAATAGAGCTTCATCTTTACCAGGGATAAATGCACTTCCTTCAATTTCCTGATAGAGCAGGCCTTTCCAGTATTTCATTTATTAAATAAAAATATCTTTATTGGCTGTAGTGTATAAACAACTCTGAAGAAACTCTAGTGAAATCTAATGAGGTATTTCCCTTTGCAGCATGACAAGGTTCAAATATGTGCATATGTGCAGTAAGGAAAATAAAATTGATTCTGACAATCAGATACCCCAGCAAGCTTCTATCTTTGCAACAAATGTGCTCTAAATTCCAATGTGCTTTGACAATCACCGTTTCTTTCAATGCATCCTCCCCAGACACACATTCTTGAGAGCCAAATTCCCATCTCGTGGAAGTCAGAGGGAGGCTTGCCATAGGTATCAGTGTTCAAAAGTTTTGATCCTTACTATGTTTAAAAGCAATCAAATACAAAATGAAAGGAAATGAATGTATATTAACCCTTGAAGTTCTGAGGACTTTGAAAAAGGATATGTCTGGTATTTTTATTTTGGAGCTCTCACATGCTGACAGAATAACAACTGCCCTTCACGAGTTAGCAAGATGCCTCCTCAAGGCCTTCACAGGCCATTTAAGAGGTGCAGACAATTATCTTCCAGAGGCAATAAGTCAGTTTCATCTCCCTAGGTATGATATGCCCTTATGATAGTAAAATATTGCTCCCAGGAGTTAATCTGTACTAGAGATTCTGCTAGGGTTTTGGCAAGACATAGAATGGAGGTTCTTGGATTAAAAGACGTGCTGCAAACATAGCCCATTGCATCAAGATGTGGATGAGGCTCCTTTATGGATAGGGAAAACTTAAAAGCAAAAGGAAAACAGAACTGTTGTGGGCATATCTGAACAAAAGTGGAGCAATACTAACAGAGGGGTTCTAGGGTGCAGGTGAAAAAAATCCATTTGAAATTCAGTCACTAATATGACTCTCATTATCAATAATGAGAAATTATTATTGACGGTAACAGAGATAAGATATCAAAAAGAAAGATAAATACAATTATATTATCATGTTATTTAAAAATATTTTAACATATGATGAAAACTAATATAGATTCAGATGTTAAATTCATTTAAACATTTAAGTAGATATCACTGGTCTTTTGAGATGGCTGTGTGAATCAGCGTGCTTAGGTCATGAGGTGAAGATAAAGACTAAGCAACCAGATTAATGCCACAGAGCCAGTCATCCCACAACTCTGGGAAGTCATATCAGTGAAGGAAGAAAAATCTCCAACATACCCTCAAGTCCCAGTGACTTTGCCTTGCAGAATCAGCTCCTCACTTCCTCCATGTGACGTCCATGACTGGTCACAGCTCAGCACTGCAGGAAAAATTGTGGACATTTCCAGTCAATTCAGACAACAAACAAAAGAATTGTGATGAAACAGGGAACACCCTTCAGGCAATCCCACAAATTAGACAAAAAATAAAGGAAAAAATGCTCACTGTACATGGATCACATAATCCTGGAGAAAAGCCACTTTCCAAGAGAACTTGGGTATCTGTGAGAAGATGAAAATAGAAAAAAAAAGTCTTTTAATACAGAAAAAAGGTTTGAGCAACCCTTTAAAGGCAGTGGTCTGCTGTTGATTCCTATTTCATAGTTTTCATGAAAGGATGGTGCAAGTGTCTACTGTTGCCCTACTATTGCTGAGGTGTTGAGACAACATGTAAAAGGAAAAGTGTGACAACAAAAGAGAGTCTCCCTTTCTCAGTTGTCATGTTACTAGTCCTTCCGTTGAGGCCTCTTGTATTTTTATTTCTATTCCAGCTGTTCCTCAGAATGATTAGTAGAAAGGTGTGACTCCAAGGAGGGCTCAAATTGCTCCTCCAGCTGTTAGGCTTATTATTTACATTTTAATATGGGCAAAGAGAAGACCTTCTGAAAGATAAGACCTTTTGGGGCACAGCTTCAGCATGTTGATTCCACCCAGCAGAGTGCCGTGCACTGCACTGTTGGTCCCCTGCACTTATCTCTGACAAGCTGTGTAATTACTACATGCCTGACTTCCCATTTCCTAGAACTGCTCCAGTTAAGAGTAAATGCATTTTCACAAAACTAGGAATACACTTGGTAACACTTTCATCAAGTTGTTACCACTCACCAGGGCAGATATGAGCTTGTGAAGTGGTAGCGCAGAGCCATACCAGATTCTTGCTGTACTTCCAAGTTGCTAAAAAACTTTGAGTGGGTGAGTTCTGGTTACTCAGACTGACTTTTGATGTGCAACTCACAGAGGGACATAAAAAAGTGTGCTGTGGATCAGGGTGCCACTTTGCAGGTGAGACAGTAGAGATGATTTTTCAGAGAGATAAACAGAATTTTTTTCACATAGTCAAAGCACAGATAAGGAACTGGGTGAAAGAAAGATTGCGTGCCTTACCCAGGGCCATACAGGAAGATTGTGACAGTGCTGGAAACTGAATGTGAAATTTCTAGCTCCCAGCTAACTCATAAATTATTTTACCATCTTCTGCCACAATAGGAAGACTACTGACACTGCAGACATTCCTCACATAACTGCTGGGAATGCTGAATGATTCCAAGTGTACACAAATACATAGAGAAAGAATGGATTTGGAAAAGGCACGTGATAAACATTGCACCCTAATCTGTATTTCCTCATCTATATGTTCAAGTGGCCTAGTTGTAATGGTACTAATATTGCTATCAAAACCCATGGGGGCAATCCAAAAACTCTGGAACACTGCCTTCGATATGTTTGTATTGTCCTTTGTTGAAGGTAATTTCTGTCCTCATAAAATTGTAGCTTGTTTTTTACTTATGTGTAGCAACAGCCCCTCCTCCTGAAAATAGCCTATTATTTCCCACCTTCTACTAAACAAACCACTCAAAAAAGTGAGAGCTTGTGGCACTCTCCAGCTTTGAAAGTGAAGCAGTTAATATAGACTCCTACCTTTGCCAGCCTTCATATTACTTGTTTCTTTGCATTTACTACTTGATGTTGCCACCTTTATCTTTGCTTTAGTTTAATATTGTTTTGTTGCCTATGCTTTTTTAAAGGTGAATCCATTCCAAATGTACTTGGTGGAGCTATGCTTAATATTTGCCAGTGGTCTCAGTAGATTTGAAGTAGACTTGATGTATCAAAAAAGCAGAAAGGATAGGCAGACTATCTAGTCTGACTTTCTGTGCCGCGTGTACTATAGAATTTTGCTTACCACTTCCATGATACCCAAAGTTCTTAATTGAAACTTTGGGGTTTTTGGTAAATCAAACAAAGCCCCACACTGGGAGCTTTCTAGTCAAATCTCCTACCCAGACTTGTTGTCTCTTGCTTTACCTTTCATAATTGTCTTTGCAGTGAAACAGTAATAAACAGTGCACAAAAGCAGAAGAATATCAGCTGGAGAAGGGTCACTAGTAGTTGGACTGTGATATATGATACTCCTGAAAAAAAGTCAAAGCAATCTGGGGAATAAAACTGTATGATGAATTACAGGAAATAGTAAATTACAGAAAAGTGTATTCTCTGCTACTTTTTCATAAATCCCTTAAAACTATTGTCATGAGATGATGATTAGAAATTTCAGTAACACAGTGGTAGAAGCAGCCTGACTCAGAGACTGCATTTGGTTTTGTCTGTAAAACTTCCATTGCTGAATATGTGAAAAGTGCAAGAAAGTGTGCATATGTGAATTAACATTAATCTGTGAAAAAAACAAATAATTTAAACATAATAATTTATCTTCAGATAAATTTTTTGTGACTTCTGAGCCAGATCCATGGAGCTCTGCTCATGTAGAGACCAAAGTTGGCCTCCTAGTTTCATTATAAACCACCATTACAGTTAGTTGAAAAAAATTGTGTAAAAAATTTACACTCTTATAATTTCTCTTCAATCTGCCAATGTTTCCTTGAGTGCAGTTTTGTTATAGAAGCATCCTTAGCACCTTGGCCATCTAAGTATAGTACCAACCAAGATTCCTCCAGTGTTGTCAATTAAATCTCTCACAATTTACCATGCTTTTATCTACAGTTGTGCCCTTTTGTAAACAGACAGAGGTTTACAATTCAGTGTTTACTTAGTCAATCTCCCATGCAGAAATGAACTCGAGTAGATAGTCCTCAAAATGCATTTCTGCTGGGGTCTGAAGTGCAAGTCTGCAGTGCTATATCTATTTACAGGGCATAGATCTCCTATCAGAGCAGTGCCTTCTACATGACAGCAGATTCCTCATTTTCCCTCTGTTTATTTTTGTCCATCAGGATCTTATACAGTGCTCCCTGAAATGAACAGAAAGACACCTATTGATTAACTGGCTTTTCTGTCATGCTCCAGGAAAATGAGAAAGACATATTGATTTTTCGGTTTGCTGTTAAGACACATTTTGAAATTCTGTGGTTTTGGCTCACACTGTAGTCTTGGCAGGGGCTTAAACCTGCAAAATTAAAACCAAAATATGCCACTTCCCCAACTCACTGCTGTTCACTGCTCATACCAGGAGTGCTGTGATTCTCCAGCACAGCAGCCATCAGCCACTTCAGGCAGATTTTCAGCTGCTGTTGTGGCTCCTTCAGAATCAGCCTGCTGCATGTTCACCTGACCACGTCCAACACCACTTACGTGGCATTCAAGATGATGGCAGCAAGTGTGTGGCCTGTCACAGACAAAAACTCATTTTAACACATCTGCTTTTGTGAGGGAAGAGATCTCCGGTGTTTCTCACGTCAAAATTCCAACTAGCTCCCAGCTTCTCCTGAAACATTTCCCTTCACTTACTCTGGGATTAAATGACTGAACACACGACAATGCCCATAGCAGCATTTCCAAATCTAAGTGCCAATGCTGGGATCCTGGGAGAGGTTGATGGGAATTATGCCCTTAACTTCCTCCCTCCAGTGAGACATAACCACATAATTTGCATTCCTACAGCGATCTCACCTCAATTCCATGTGCGTCAGTTGTAGGCAACAAAACCTCAAATCCAGCACTTCACTCAAGTCTATGATTTATTTATAATTATATGAAAGTTCTGGTTGCAATCCCTGCCACAGCCTGAGAGTATCATATCAGCTGGCATTTTAACTGTGCTCATAAATTGGGTCCTAATTGCAAAGCCAGGCAACCAAAGAAATTAACAATATTATTTTCACACATGCTTAAGCTGGTTCCCTTTAAAAATGAGGCTATGTTCAATGCATGTCTAATAAGGATTATTGTGAGTCGCTAGGGGCACTAAAATTTTGAGATGTTTGCCTAAATTATATGGATAAGGAGAAATGTTTTTTACACGAGCTCAAGAGTTAAATAAAACTCTTGAGTTTCAATAAATAGACACAGCTCTTTAGGAAGTGGTGACAATGTGCAATCTGCAAAAGAAGGAAGTCTCAGAGGTGCTGTGGTAATAATGCAGTTACTTGAAGCACATTGAAGATACAAATATCTCTGTGGTTTTTTATTTGCTTCCACTCCTTGAGTCATTCTGAGAAACTTCACAAAGCTGTGCACATTCCAGTTAAGGCCAAAGTATGATGCACTCCTCACTGCATACAAAAAGCTTTATTTCAGAAGGCTACAGCATGGGCTGAGAAGAAGTCTTTTCCAGGCACTGGAAAAGGAAGGTTTGAAGAATAGTGTGGTGGAGAACTTTGTTTCATTGTGTAAAAGAAGAAGAAAGACAAACATTCTTGCCACAGTGAGACAATTAAAAAAATAGGGAAGTGGCTACTCTCAAGACTGAAGCATTTCTGTCATCCACATGTGCTGCTGAAGTCACCAAAATGTGGTGATGGTGAGGCTTTGTCCTAGCTGAGGAGAGACTGTTTGAGAGTAGTATTTTAAGTATTTATTACAAAACCATTAGCACAGCCAAATCCTTCAGAGGATTAAGGAAATTAGTTAATGAAAAAACAGTTCAAAATAATTTTGTATCCCCCAATTTTGAAAATCAAGGAAAAGATCCAATTAAATTAATTTCCAGAAGTCCTCAAGAAGAAAGTGTCATTGGAAAGGAGTTGATTCTGCCCTAGAAGATTCAAAGACAGGAGAAAAGCAGATCCAAATATCTCAAATAAAGCAAACCACCAAAGTAATAAACATGGTTTAGTTTATATTGCTTAAATAAAGATTTTTTTTTTTCTTCTGGATGCACTGTGAAGCAGCTGTCTAGTTAGTGATCATGATTGTTAGATTATAGATTCAGGTCTCCACAAAATCAGCAGCCAAATGCTTCCTAATGCCTTGGTTTACTCAAGGCCACAAAAAACCCCCAAGCAACCCTTAAAGATATCCAAGAATCATGAATAAAATAATCAGCAGAAGCAGAGATGCTCGTGGTATTACTGAAAGACATTTTTGTTATGATTTACTGAGGTCCACAGGACCCTTCAAATTTAGTCAGAGTTTGCATTAGAGGTCTGACCATGCCTACTCCTGCTCCTGTCAATTATTCAGGCTTTTTCTAGCTTTCCCAAGAGAAGCTGCTAAACACTTCCAACAAAGCCTAACTCTTCCCTCACTTTTCTCTGAGCCATCCA